AGACCGATGGAGGACAAAGTGGCGTTGAATGCAAAACGGGAGAACAACTTTGATCTATGGCACAAGCGTCTCGGACATCCTTCACCTCGAGTCTTATCTTTAGTTCCTGTAGTTGGTTCCATTAAAGATAGTAGTTTACAGAATAATTGTTGTGATATCTGTATACGTGCCAAACACTCACGTACCAGTTTTCCTATAAGTTATCATCAATCTACTGCAATTTTTGATATGATGCATGTTGATTTATGGGGGCCTTATCGCACACCTAGTCTGAATGGATCCACAATGTTTTTGACCATCGTTGATGATTTTTCCCGTGGTGTTTGGGTATACTTGACCAAAACAAAGAGTGCAGTACCAACAATTTTTCGTGAATTTTGTGCCATGGTTGCAAGACAGTATGGGACACAGATTAAATGTGTACGAAGTGATAATGGGACCGAGTTTGAGTGTTTGAATGCTTTCTTCAGGGAACAAGGAATCCTTCATGAAACCTCATGTGTCGACGCTCCACAACAGAACGGACGAGTTGAGCGGAAGCATCGCCACATTCTCAATGTCGCTCGCGCCCTGAGATTTCAATCTGGACTGCCAATTGAATTTTGGGGCGATTGCATCCAAACTGCCGCCTACCTAATTAATCGAACACCGTCCTCTCTCCTAGGGGGGGTTTCACCATACTCCAAATTGCATGGGAACCCACATCACCTATCTCACATTCGTGTGTTTGGATGCAGATGCTATGTTCGAAGACGAGAGAGTGATAAGTTCGCTCCACGAAGCACACTGGGTATCTTTGTCGGATATTCACATGGCAAGAAGGGATGGAGAATTTATTGCCCCGACACGGGGAAAATAATTGTTTCTCGTGATGTTATTTTTTTGGAAAATATTTTTCCATATCTAACCCTTTCAGATAAAGAGACCGATCAACCAATTCCAGTGTCGGACGGCCCATTACCAATGGAGGAGGATCTGATCACACGGCCCCCAAGACGACCTGGTGCAGCAGCACCTACGGTCTTTGACGCCGCCACCGACAACCCAGCGTCGGAGCCCCTTCCAGCAACCGAAGACACCACACCCGTAGCAGCGGGCGACATGACGTCGTCCAGCGCTGCCAGCACTGGAGGCAGCACTAGTACTGCACTGACGGACCATCTACCCGACGAGGCACCAACCACTGCCAACGAGGCAGCACCCACACCGGATCCTATAGTTGGTCGTGGGCAACGAGCACGCATACCAAACACCCGTCTGAAGGATTATGTCACATATACTACCTTCCAAACGCTCAGCAAGTATCCGCTCAGTGCATTCATCAATTATGACAAATTTACTCCTTCACACAAGTGTTATCTCACAGCCATCGACTCCGAGGTCGAGCCCAGAAATTTTCGTGAAGCAATGCGATCCGAAGCGTGGCGCAAGGCAATGCGGGCGGAAATTGATGCGTTGCAGAGTAACGGGACTTGGACTCTAGCCAGTGCCCCTCCTCACAAAAAGCCTTTGGGGAGCAAATGGGTATACAAAATCAAACGTAAGGCCGACGGTAGTATCGAACGGTACAAGGCACGACTGGTGGTCTTCGGTAATCATCAGGTTGAAGGGTTGGATTATAATGAAACATTTGCTCCTGTCGTGAAACTCACCACCGTAAGAACCTTATTAGCCGTGGCTGCAGCTAAATCATGGGAGCTTCATCAGATGGATGTTCACAATGCGTTTCTTCATGGTGATCTTAGTGATGAAGTCTTTATGCGCCTGCCTCCCGGATTCACTCCTCCTCGTCCAGGTCTTGTTTGCAAACTTCAGAAATCTTTATATGGATTAAGGCAAGCCCCCAGATGTTGGTTTGCCAAACTCTCTCATGCCTTAAAGAACTATGGTTTTGTTCAGTCTATCTCCGATTATTCTCTTTTTACGCTACGACAGAGGGAGGGTGTCCTACATGTTCTTGTCTATGTGGATGACCTTGTGATCGCCGGTAGTGACTCTCATCAA